CCGAACCAGTATCATTCCCAGCTGGCATACCAAAAGATCGCAAGTTCACGAAGAAGCCGTGCAATGTTGCGGGAGGAACAGCAGGCTTGATACGCCAAAAGCAGCAGTGGCAGTCGCAGTGATGTAGCATGGTTCTGAAAAATCAAAACAGCGCCTGAGTTTCCGCCAGTTGTACCACGGGTGACGCGTTGTGGTGCCTGCAGATGATTGATGTTCGCGAAAACCAGGTTACGAGGTTGTGGAGGGAGTGAGATCGGCGCAGCGAGACGTACTGAAATACGAGCTTGTCATTCGAGTTATTTGCGATAGTCGCAAGTTTTCGCGAAACCTAATTAAATGGCCGAGCCAGCCTGTTTTTCAGCCTAGCACTGTACGAACAGGTCGCAGGCGGCGGAATACGCCAGTTGGAACCAGATGACGATGAATGCAGTATCTTCGTCTGCTTGAAACAGATGGACAAATGCAGACCATCTTCAGTATCTCGTATTGCCGTAACCGCGATAAGCAGTGTTGTGCACGCCGAAATAGGGCATGGCCGCATGGTTACCTGCCTGTGAAGTCGATTGCTGGGTGATACCATCGAAATTCGAAGAAGGCGCAACCTGAATATGATTCGGAGACAGGGGTTTACATACATCAGCAAATTCCTGTGACAACAGGCTGCCTGCTCACATGTACGTCAGTTCAAAGATCATTACCGTGAATGGCGAGTGAGCCGGTTGAGCAGCGGCATACTAGATAGCCCTGGAAGCAGGGCGTAACCCACAGGAACTGGAGCACAGCAGGGGCATCGGATCAGCAGTCTTCAGCCGAGCAGGCAGAGTCCGCCCAGACAGTTATCCGCCGTTTGCAGTGAAAGTTAAACCGCCTTGCGCAATATTGGAAAATTGTCACCTGTTCAGAATAGGTAGAAACCCTCGTTTTCCATGCTGGCTCCCTCAACCAGATGTCAACTCATACGCCTGCATCGACTTACTGGTCGAAATTGTCGCGCGTTGCGTACAACAGTAAATGTAGCCGCAGTCGCATATCAAGCCCGCCCGACCACTGGAAAGTTATAGATAATGCTATACGATCACGACACGCTGGTCTGGCCCACGGCATGGCAAGAGGCTTGAAAGCTTGAAGCGCAGAGATGACCTGACCGGGCAGGATTGCCGCAGGCTTTGTTCTGGAAAGCAACGTATTCTTTGACCTGCCAATACGGCAGTCTTTGTGCCAGAACGCTAAACCGTGAGTTCGCAGAAAACATCGTTCGTTTGGTGCCGAACCCGTCCCGTTAATAAGCCAACAGTTTTTGAGTAGTCTCAATCACGTTAAGACTGACAATCGAACCGACTGAAGGCAGGATCGTTGTCGATCATTTAACAGTTCTGTCCTGGCTGGTGCCGACACTGAGTACATTCGGCTTAGTTCATCAGTCTGTTATAATAGCGCTTTAGTTTTGAAAATGTAGTATTTTTGTTTAATATATGTTTTGCATGTAAATTACGTACATGCATAGTTGGCAGTATACCAATATTGTGCCGGGCTGCAGCTGTTATACTATGTCTCCATAGATTTTCAGCATTGATCTTAATTGTTTTATCATTGTGAGCGGGTTTAACCTTATGTCGTCATGAAAATTATGCTTTTATATTTACTAACACAGCCATTATATACTGTTTGTTATATTTTGCGTTACGGTGTATGCCATCAGCGCTTTTAACGTAAGCGATTTGTTCAAGCTGTATTTAGATCATGGCTTAGTTCTTGTTAGATAACATCTTGCATAGCACCACGTATCATTTTATATAGGCGCAGGCTAGAAAGTCATCTTTTAACGTAGTAAAGTTTAGATAATTATATATAATATTTATAAATTAGTGTCACTTACAACAGCGTTTGTTTATTGTCTGTCTTTTTAGTAAAGTAGTTTATCGACAGATAAACATTTACTGGTCACTTATGTTATCTGTCTAAAGATTCGTTGTAATGCTTTACCAATACGTTTTTAGGTCAATGTTAATTGTTAAACAGTCCTTTTCTTATATCCTCGGGTTCAACCTAAGAGATGGAGGTCTTTTATTTAAAAGATAGTTATACGTGGGAGGCCTGTAATGATAGTTCTGCTATTAACTATTTCTGAGCATGGCAATTGCTCATAGCGAAGTTTAACAGAGAATTTATTAAACAGACGGTGAGGATCACAGCAACGTCAGCCAGTCATCATCGTCTCCGCCCGGTGATTTTCATCCACACTGATCGATACCTAGGGAACATTGATGGCGAATTGATCACCATGATATCATGCCGGAGGCCGTAAAGTCCGATTAAATAATCACCGACTGTCACAACTTCATGAAGCGGAATACAGAATGTTGATGATCAGTCATTTCAATACTGGTGATACTCATCAGCGCTTATTTTCTGTTACTTAATTTTGATCAAGTGCGCAGATTATCGCACGTATTTAATAATCATATTTTACAGCTTTTCACACGTTGCCATAGCTTAACACCGTATGTTGGTTCAAAAATGTTTTATGTATTTATTTTCCAAACCAGCTTTTTCTTAAATCACTCATATCAGCCAATAATAATTTTTCAACGACATTTGATGGATCATCGTGGCTAATGGTTCTATAGAAGATACCAGGTAGATAGACACAGAATAAATGCGGAAGCCCTTTAAAGAAATTCAAACTGGTCGACCACAAAAGTCTAAAGACAGCACAGGCCACATCGGTAATCAAGCCAGCTGGTGTCGTTTTTTGCTGACAAAAAAATATTGAGTACCTCCAGCATTCTGTGCGAATACCATGGATCCACTTTAGTCTGATTAAAGGTTTGATCCGATTATGTCAAAGACCTATGCTTTAGCCGTTGTAGCACCTGAACTGTTTCTATCAGACCTGCGACCCGGAGCGAGCTGGTACAACAGGGTGGTTTCCCCAACAGACCCGTTCCAGTCAGATTCAGCCTAATCGAGATCCAATAACAGGAGGATCCTGCCTTCAATTCAGATCTGGTTCTCCCATCAGATTCAGCCTCACACTGTTTCAGATCCGTTCCAACCATATGGTTTGATCAGCCTTGACCATATGGTTGGAACGGATCTGATTGGAACGGATCTGATTGGAACGGATCTGATTGGAACGGATCTGATTGGAACGGATCTGATTGGAACGGATCTGATTGGAACGGATCTGATTGGAACGGGTCTGTTGGAAACCACCCTGTTGTACCAGCTCGCTCGGGTCAACAGGTCTGATAGAGCGGTTAGACCTACAACGGCTAAAGCTTAGGTCTTTGAATGTTTCACATATTTTTAATCAAATCTATAGCGGATCAAACCTAATAGCTGTCGTTAAGAAAGATTTTTCAAAATGTAAACCAATTAGTTTGAAATTTTCTCAATATTTTTTTTTGGTATAGCTATTACAAAGAAAAACGTTTACCCATATAATATAGCTCTTGATTACCGTGTAACATAATTGTAATCTTTTTAGACTTTTACATATGTCATTAGTTTGAATTTCTTTAAATGGGCTCCGCACATTACACATTTATTCAAATTATCTACCCTATTTTATTCTAATTATCTTCTATAGAAATTGTATTAGCCTGATGGTCCATCAAAATATCGTTGAAAAAAAAATTATTAACGATGATATTGGGTGATTTAACAGAAAATATAGTTTGGAAAAATAAATAAATAATTACATAAAAATATTTTTTGAATATATACGGTGTGAAAAAATAAACTGTAAAATATATGGTGTAAAAGTAATACGTGATGAAATCACCGCCCGGTTTTAGCGATAAATATTTAAGTAAAATAAAATAAATCAAACTTGGTGGTAATACATGTAGAATAAAAAAGTAGTAATCAGCCTTGACGATTTCCCGTTTCCGGTATGACGGTGAAAAACACATTGTGCAACATTTATTCCTTATCAGAGTTTACAGTCGGTATTATTTTTAATCGGACTTTGCAGCCTCCGGCATGATATCATATTTTTCTAGAATTAGATCAATTCGCATCATGTGGTTAGACAAAGTAGTCATCTACCGGATGTTTTGGTTTTTGAAAGGAAATGGTGACTGACTGAACGCTGTGGTTCTCACCGTCTGTTTTTAATAAATTCTCTGTTAGAGCCGTATGTTAGAGGTATGAGTAGTGCCATCTATTAGAAATAGTTAATAGCGGAGCTAATCATCATTACAGGTCCCCACGTATAAGAAAACATTACTTGTTATCTTTTTTAAATAAAGACCTCACATCTCTCAGGTTTTCTATGCTTAGGTTGAAGGATATATAAAGAAAAAAGGTTTGTTTAATAATTCTTTATTGATAAAAACGTATTAGTACAAACATTACAACGAATCTTTATAAGTGTTAGTATAAATGTTTATCTGTGTCATCTCTAGAGCCCTACTTTTACTAAAAGACAGATAATAAAAGTATTTTGCTGTTGTGACGGATGCGCCAGACTATTTTATAAATATATATATATATAATTATCCTAATAACATACGTTAAAAGTAACATTATTTTCTATACACTATGTATAAAATATACGTGGTGCTATAAAATGATAATGTTTATCTACAACGTCTAACTAAAGAACCTAAATCTAATATATAAATACAACTTGTATAGTAAACATACGTTAAAAGTAACATTATTTTCTATACACCATGTATAAAAAATATAACAAAAGTATATAATGTGTGTTAGTACAAATAAAATATAAAAACATAATTTTCTACATGACATGTATAAGGTTTAAACCCTACATATTTTAATGATAAAACAATTAGAACTTAACTGAAATCTAATATAGGTTTATATAAGTACAACCTGTATAGTAACATACAAATACAGCCTGTATAAAAATATATTAATAATATACGTGATAGTATAAATTACGGTACAATTATTATAACTACAAAAATACTACATTTACAAAACTAAAACATATTATAACTAAAAGTATGAACTAAATACAGTTTTTCTCAGTGTCTAGCTTTTTTAAACCCGAACGGTAATGAACCACCTTGCTCGTCGAATTTCCGTTTGGTCGACAACGGTCTGTATAGTTTAGTCAGTTGTGTAGTCATAACTTTGTGATCCCCGGTTCTCCGTATCTGTTTGTATATTATTGGGACAGGTTCGGGCTCTTCTTCTGTTAAAACCATGGATTTTATGGTTTCAAAATTCACGGTTTGAGAGGCGTTGTAGTTTAGGGAAAGACCTTTAACCTTGCACGTTATGAAATATTCCCCGGTCTTAGGAGAATATACCTTATACGCATAATTCTTAGGCCCTCCCGACACAAACTCATCAATGTAGCTGCCCTCGCCATACCCCTCCAGCTCGTCAGTCATCTCTCCCAGAAAATTTCCAAGCGGAATATCTTCTTGCCCTGCCTTCGATAGGTAGATAACGCTATCGGTGTCCGTGTAAATAGCATTATCACCAACTTTTTCCAGGTAGCTATATAATTTCAGGCGGGCTTGAGCCGTGGTGTATGCGGCTAAACATACATTTACTGTTGGTAAAACATCGTACGCTTCATCTTTAAACGACCAATTTACCAGTAAAGTATCGTCGTTCACAGGCAGTATGGAGTTGACGTCTGTTGCAGGGTTAGTTAGCATGGAAAACAGGGTTTCTGGCCTATTCACAATAGACGTCTTTCCCTGATTTTCCCTCTGTCCTAACTTGCCCCAAAACGAGGTGATAACCGCTTTACCCAACTGTCTAAGGCCCGGATTTACAGCCACCTTTTGGGGATCTAGCGTAACACCTTCCCTTGCCAGGTATTCACGTACGTATTGGTCTTTGGATTCGGGCGTTGTACAGTATGAAGGCCAGCCTGATGATTCTTGTTTTATTTTTAGGAATTTGCTGATGTATCCATTAAATAAACCCCCTTCTTTTGTCTCCGGATTATATTGGGTTACCTTATACTTCCAGATTTCCTGAATATCTAGTATAAGGTACCCTTTCTCAACCGACTTCACCACTTCGTCAATAACCCATGTTCCGTTAATTATCCGCTCTTCATCGCTATGACTACACTCTCTGGCCCCTGTTTTACCGCACGTGTAACACAACACGAACATGAGTTTATCGTTCAGTTTTACGGGCAATACGGGATGGATCAGCTGCTGAGGTGGAAGAATTCTGCATTTAATCAGTCCATCTGTTTCAAGCAGATTAAGTTTATTGCACTTTTCATTACCGACGATAACTTCCGGATGTCCTACGGGGTACTTTCCGTACTTGTTCACCCACGGGTAAAGCGAACAAACGTCGACGTATTTGATTTGTTCTCCGTCCCGGCACTTGTAATAGGTTTTCATATTTTCCGTACGGCCCCCGTAAAAAGCGTCGCGCGGATTTAGTGGTAAATTGATAAGTAGAGGATGGTCTTCGGTATATTGTCTGATTTCATCGTTCATATTGCGCCGGAAATCGCACTCCCACATCTCCACAACCTCGTAGCCTTGGTCTATTAAATGCTGGGTTTTCGTAACCGTATTTTCGTACCGGGAATCCAATGTTTGTGTAGGGTCGTCTTTCAGCGGTACCTGGCGCTCGTGCTTGTAACATCTAGGGCACCCGTGGTAATAACAACCGTGAAACTCAAACACTTGTTTTGATTTTTCACAGAACCCATCTACTTTACATCCTGCGACAATACTTTCCTGCTGCTTTGCAGCATGTATGATTTCAACCCCTCTTTCTTGTTCCTCCCACAATAACCATTGGAGCGCGATCTTACTTTGGTTATCGCATAACCTGTACCCGTTTTTAGGAATGATACCTATAGTTTCGGGCTGGAGGAAATTGCGGCGGAAAATCTTGTTGCAAGCACTGGGTAGTGTTGAGGCTTCTGTAAACGGACACACGTTCCCCTCGTCTATCATGAGTTTTCTGAATTTGAGGCAGGCTTGCGTGAGAATATCGACATCAGATACACAATATTCAACAAACTCCTTCTCGAAATCGAACACATAGTTTTCAGCCACACGTTCCTCGTACCATTTAATGAACTTTTCCCTATCTTCAACCTTCATATTGTCGGGATCATAATATTCAATAGAGGGCATTGGTCCAACATACTTCTGTTTTTCCATAATATTAAATAAATGTGGAAAATATCCTTTCTTCAGCTCTGCCAATCCGAATGCTTTAGGTAATTTGGATAGGGCCATAGGAAAATAATTGAGTGAGTCCAGAAATTTGACGTTGCCCACAGACATGAGAATTAACTTGGTACCTCTGGTAATAAGTTCTGGAGTCAGGTCTGTTTGCTGGAGAATATAGTCCAGGATAAATTGATGGTCAAACCCCCCGCCATTATGTGCTATCACCACCACATCCTTGAATTGTTTTCTTATACCAAGCACATAACATATAAAGCGAGAAATTACATCGTCGCCTTTTAGTATTTGGCATCTAGCCGCACAGAACGCACAAATTAGTTTACTGGAGTCTTCTTCAAGGCACTTATGACACCTTTGTTGAAATACACATAAGTTAGGTTCATGAAGTAAACTACCATCTTCCAACTTCTTCTCTTGCCTCGTTTCCAAATCATAGAAGATAAACAATGTGTTCTTCATACTGGGACACCCTGTATCCTGCTGCATGTAACAATGGTGCGGCTGTGGCTGGTGTTTCTTGCAAATCGAACAATACTTTTCACCACAGGTATGTGGTCTGTCTGCTTTTACGATGACGAGACACGTTGGGCATTTTCTAACACTTTCACATACCGAACTTTTGTCAACCGATCCAACCTTCTTATGGTTCTCGAAACATGTTGGGCCTCTAAACGAACGAAGGCAGTCTGTGCATTTCACTTTCATATTGTCTGTAGGGCATGCTGGAGATTGTTGACACCCCGCGCATGTACCGCCACACCTATGTCTGTTTTTACTATTGTAAGGAACGTTACACTCTTCGCAATAATAATCACAACAAAATGCCGCTGTCAGTGATGTTATGACGTTGAAGTGGTTCTGGTGGTAAAGCAGGTGGAGTTTCCTAGGCTTCTCCAGCTGCCCTTTAAAAACCAGATCCCTGCCCTTGGATCCGTACTGATACACCACGATTTGGTAATCTACCAAATAGTTTTGTAGGACCTGTATTTCGGGTATACCTGCCCCCTCTACCGGTATATTGACGTCTGCAGCCCCCACTAATGTCATTGTCTTGATGGTCTGTGCCTTTCCGATATCTCTTCTTATTTTCGCATAATTTGGGTCCTTCTCGGCGTGCGCAATCGCCACAACGAGAGCTCGGGGAAGGCACAGATTGTCTTTATTTGTTATGGCAACAATGCCTTTACGCATCCCACACTCTTCATCGAAGCTATTGTATTTGGCCCCACGACCTTGCCCAATCGGCATTTTCACGGCTGTAACACCGAGACAGAAAGTCTCGGTGTTTAGTCCGGTGCTGTTAGATTGATATATGGAAGATATTGTCTTCCATGTATCGTCAAAAGTTACTTCACTAGCCGTTTTAAAATTCATCCAGCCATCACCGCGTGTAAAGTCTTTGGAGCAAAAACTGAGCCCCACTTGATCATTTGGGGCTACGCCCTCGGTCCCTTTTTTCACAATATCTTCAATTGCCCCCTTTGTCCATTTAATAGGGTCTTCACCACTGGGCACTGGTTTAATTTTGAATTCCATTTTACGACCGGTAAGACCGAAACGCTGAACTTTTTTCATGGAATCTTTCACTACAATAAATTTTTCCATTTTTGAGGTTATGTTAAACGCTGCTGGTACTACGATGTGACACCTGCAAAGTCTCGATGAGAACTGATTTGTACTCGTCGTGTCGCCCTTTTTATACCTTGACAGCTGTAGTGACGAGTGCAAAAGGAAGGATGATACAGGTGTTGCGCAACATTGTGTAATTATAATTTCACATTTACATATTTTAAACGTAAGTATATTTTAAACGCCCTGTAACTATAAATATTTTTATGTTTGCGATAAAGAAAATACTATATGGTAGTATCCGCCGTCATACTTCCTTCAGCTGATTCACACACACCTAGCGTGAAAACAAATTCTATTTTAGATCTCTCAACGTCACATCCTTTTCAATTATTGCACCATATGACCAGCCGTTGTGGTTCAGTTTGTTTCTAACTTTTAACGGTACTGCATTAAGAAATTTATTGTGTATTTTCAGTGCGTTTAGTGAAAAGGGCTATTGAAGAAGAAAAAGGGCATCAGTGTATGTGTTGAGTGAATAGATAATAATACATATGAACCTCGTAAGTACGTATTTTTAGTAATACGCTTTGTTTTTTGATTTAATACTCTTAAATTAATTTTCTTCGTTTCGATAAATATTAAAGTTTTTTTACATTACAAAGGGTTTTTGCGGGTATACTCTTGTTGTAATTTTTCTGTTTATTTCTGCCACCGCCACACCTAGTTTTTTTGGCGCGCTGATTTTGACGTTTGATAACGATGTTTACCGAAGTTAAACGATGGGCTATTGTCCTTGTATATATTTTTAAAAAATTTTCTGTTGGAGCTTGCGCTTAGAGCCACACCTAGTTGACATAGTTGACGTTTGACTTAATACTTTTAAAATAATTAATTAATCGCTATGTTTTTGCATTAGATTTTTCTATTTATTTTAGAGCTTGCGCGCCACACCTAGTAATTTTAGAGCCAGTGTTTGACGTTTGATCTTTGTTTTAATTTAATACTCTTAAATTAATCGTTATGTTTTGCATTAGATTTTTAATTTTTTTTCTGTTTGTTTCGGACTTGTGTGAAAATTTAGATAGTTCTGCCACACCCTATTGATTTTGGCGCGTAATTTTGACGTTTGACAGCCGCTGTTTACCGAAGTTAAACGATGGGCTATTGTCCTTGTATTTTTAAAAATTTCTGTTGGAGCTTGCACTTACACCTAATTGACGTTTGACTTAATACTTTTTAAATTATTTTTGTTGATAGATTCTCAGAACTGTTTGCTTTTTAGTCTCATCTCCAAATTTTATTCTTATAGCGTTAAGTACTTGTACATATTTTTTCTGTTGGGTTAGATTCTCAGAGCTGTTTGCTTTTAGTCATCTCTAAATTTTATTCTTATAGCGTTAAGTACTTGCTGTAATTTTTCTGTTGGGGCTTGCGCACCACACCCTGTTGATTTTGGCACCAATATTTGATGTTTAATCTTTTAGTAAAGTAAAGTCTTTTGGTTTAATACTCTTAAATTAATTAATCGTTATGTTTTTATAATATTTTATTACTATTTTTGTTAAATAATAATTGTGCGTGCGCTACAAAGGATAGTACCTTACGATAACATCCGATGTTTGCCGAAGTCAACTTTGTTTACCTAAATTGTATCATTGGATTTATGCTTGCGCTTATTAGTTAATTTTAAAAAATTCTTAAATCAATGCGTTTTTACAAAGGGCATCTGATGGGCTCGTTGATTTTGACGCGTTTACGATAACAACCGATGTTTACCGAAGGACTCAACCTTCAACAATATTGTTATAAAAACTTTTAAATAAGAACTACATTTATTTTTGTATCAGTCTTTAAGCGGTGGTCGTCGCAACAACACGTATGCTGCTGCTGCTCCCACAACCTAGAAATAGTTTAGGTACTTACCTTACGCCGGTGGTACTGCTGGTGCTGCGCCCCTATAGCTAGTTTGTGGTAAGTAAATATTCTGCTTTTATTTTTGATAAATCAATGGTGCTAATAAATTTGGGGGCCCCCGGTACGCAGGGCTAGGTGTATGGCATATGGTGAATGGCGCTCATATATGGTATTTGACTTGTGTACGAACGTCGTTCATTACGTGATCTATACCTTTGAGACAACTTTAGTTTGGGGCCCTCATATAGACATACCTACAATTAATTTTAAATACGTTTGTGGTCGTGTTGATTAAGGCGTTAGCTTGGCAATCGACAGGTCCGTGGTTCAAACCCTACACCGAACTTTTTTATTAAAAATAAATTTAAATGACGTCAGGCGGATGACGTCATGCATATAAATTGACTTATTAAGGTTCAGAGGTGATGACTCATGCGTCACGGTTGGTGGCGTCATACGTCTGGCGCCAGAATTCCTGGAATTCGGTGTCTGGGCCGGATGTGACTGGTGGTAACGTCATACGCCAGACGTTACGGTTGATGACGTCATACGTCTGGCGCCAGAATTCTTGGAATTCGGTGTCTGGACCGGAAGTGGCTGTCTGTCTAAGGTGCCCCCATACCTACTTGGTAAATATATATTGATAAAGAAACAGTGGAAACCTGAACGCAGTTCTCAAAAGTATGTTGAATTCCAGCCGACTGAAATGATTGCGGAGAAGTCTGGAAACAGTGATAATGATGATGATAATGTTTTTATGGAAGTACAATCACTACAAGCATTTAAAGATGCTAACGAAGATCTTCAAAAATCAATTCTAGAACAAACTGAAGTGTACAAGAGCTACTTGGATCAGTATCCAAAAATAGCACATGAATTTATCGATAAGTACTTTATAGATTCCGATGAAATAGATCATACGTATGGTTTACAACATAATGCACCAACTGAAACTTGGAAAATGGGGACGGAAAAAGTGGATTTTCTTCAAAATGGTGATATACGAGTAGGCGATTCTATTTACAAAGGAAATCGTGGTTTATATGAATTGTTATTTCTAAAGAAACCTATGCACTTTACTGAAAACGATAGAGTTCAATTTCAGAAAATATTGAAGCAAACCAACGTTCACAAAAGAGATTTTAGTCCATTGGGACAATTGAGAGGTAGTAAATCTGTGAAATATAGGGATTTCGTTAAACCATTGATTACAGCTGCATCTTCGGCTTCGCTTGAAGGTTCAAGACTTAGGCATTCATCAGCCAGCAATATAGCACAGAAAATCCCTAAAACCAGATCGCAAACTAAATCTGGATCCGCACTACTTGAGTATAATGAAAAACCTAAAGAATATATTTATTATGATGACGTCAACGAGTTGGTGGATAGATTAAGTAAACTGGATGCCTCTCAAACAGCAGGAAACGGAAACCATACGAATGAAATAATGAGTATTCTTGAAGAATTGTTAGAACTAGGTGTAGTTGAACCTATAAATAAAGTGTTATACTAGATATTTGAGCATTATTATTTCAACCATGAACAAGTTCGGATGGTCTTTATCTTCCAAGCGAAGCTTAGTGCACCCTCAACCTGAATTTTTCCACACACTTGAAGGAGATTATGATTTTGAAAATCGGAAAATAACTAATGTTGAAGACCCTACAGAAGAGAGCGATGTATCGACTAAACGATATACTGATGAGCTAGCAGGGAAAGTCCGCGAAGAGATAAAATTTCAAGCTCGCTCTATGGAAACAATAAACGCATTTAACAATGTTCTTACCGAAAGATTAGAGGCGTTAGAGATAGACTTGCAGGAGACGTTTTCAAAAATTTCAACACGTCTAACGGATATGGATAAGAAATTTGGAGCTATAGAGGATCAGATAATTAAGAAACTGCATATAGACTTTGATGTGTTGGAAAGTGCGATAAAGAATTATACAGATACGGTGATTGAAAAATCCAATAAGGCTAAACGTCTAGAACTAGATAGTATCAATTCTAAACTATCAAACATTGAGCATGATATACGAAACATTGATACGGATATAGCAGCACAATATCAGAGAGCGCTTGATTCGTTTAAGACAATAACAAACCAGAAAATAGACGATTTATCAAACGATTTGGTTGATGTAAAAGGCGTCCTTGAAGATATGTTATTAAGTAAAAATTCTAACCCAAAATAAATATAAATACACATATACCAGTACTATTTCGTTAGACAAAGCGATGGGTTCTAGAGAACAAGTCGTTAGGGAACTTCATAAACCCGCTCGTATTAAATTCAAAAGACGAAGATTTATTCAGTATGGTTTAGACGATACTTTTGTCACCAATCTTGCTCAATTAGATCAATATTCTAGAGAGAATAAGGGTTATAAATATATTTTGGTTGTGATTGATTGTTTTTCCAAATATCTATGGACAAAACCTGTAAAATCAAAATCTGCACCAGACATTACTAAGGCAATGGAAATCATATTGAAATCTTCAAACAGAATTCCTAAAAAGTTGGTGTCGGATAATGGCAAAGAGTATTACAACAGTCAGTTTCAAAATTTGATGAAAAAATACAAGATCCATCACTACAGTACTTTTAGTCCTTTGAAAGCCTCTATAGCTGAACGTGTAATTCGCACTATTAAGGAAAAATTGTTTAGATCGTTTACGTTGAACGGGAACCATAAATGGCTGGAATTACTAAATAAAGTTACAGAAGACTATAACGATACGAAACACAGAACCATTGGAATGAAACCGAAGAATGTGGATAGTAATAGTGAGAAGAAACTACTAGATGGCGTTTATAGTCATATTAAGGTAGCGGGAAAATCAAAATTTAAAATTAGCGATACCGTTAGAATCTCAAAACAGAAACATCTTTTTGAAAAAGGATATACGCCAAATTGGACTACTGAACTTTTCAAAGTATCTAAAGTAAAAATTACAAACCCTGTAACGTACCTTTTAGAAGATTATCAAGGCAATCCCATCAGCGGTGGATTTTACGAAGAAGAATTACAGAAAACTAAACAACCTGAAGTCTATCTTGTGGAGCAAGTGTTGAAAAAGAAAGGAAATAAAATTCTGGTCAAGTGGTTAGGATTCGA